GCAGCCGGTTGATAAGAGGGCAAATGAGTGGTAAATACTGAGGTTTTGAGATGAGAGAGTGATATGGTAATTCTTATATCTTTGAATATTTGGTCCATCTTTATCAAGTGATGATAGCCTAGAAGTTAACTCTTTCAGAATTATTATTTTCCTAATGTTGGTTTTGGATTATTTACAGTGGAGGTTCCTGATCTGGCCATTACAAAACTTAACTTGGTTCATTCATTTACTTTCTTTTCAACACTAGCTAGCAGGTGGCACTTAATAAATGCTTCCTGATCATCCTCTCCTAGTTACCCTCATCCTTCAGTTGTTTCCTCATGATGCTTACTATAATATATATCTTTTTTGTTTATTGTCTAACTTTCATAATAGATTATAACCTTCATTAGGCAGGGTTGTTTTATCTGTCTTGTCCTTTTACCATATCTTTATGACCTAGCACACAAAATAATTAATGGAATGAATGAATTTGGATGGGGAAGTGTTTATTTTAGGCATATTTTTAAATAAGGATTGACCAAAACCAGTTTCTATTTAATTCTGTTGCTGTCAGACTTCAATTCAATTCAGTGAATGTTCATTTAGTCCTATATATGTAACTGTCTACAGTAGCTCTCAGTCTGCAGGTTATCAGTTAACCCAAAAAAGCCATGTTGCATACCTGTTAGTTAACTGAGACTTAGCTAAATACATTTGCAGCATTTAGCCACTTCTAGTTCTTTTTAGAAAGATCATGAACTTCTAAAACTAAGCCGTATTTCCAGTGACTGGCAGTATTCTCTTGTTAGTGTTACTTTCCTCGCTTTTGGCACTGGAAGTTTAAATTGCTTGTGGATATGGGGGAAGAAATGTGAGAAAGAAAAAAAAGTTAGATGTGGTGGTATCTGAAATGACGCTACACCTTGGAAATTGTCTTAGAGCAAACTGTGGTGGTAATAGAATAATTTGCCATCCCTGTCAGAGTCCTCGGGACTACCCCCTTTGGGCGGTTTGCTGGAGGACTCAGCATATGGTTTTACTCATGGTTGTTACTCATAACAGTGTAAGGAAACAGCAAACTCAGCAAAGCGGAAAGGCTCACGGGGAGAACTCTGAGGAAACCAAGCACAAGGTTCCATGACTCTTCTCCCAGTGTTACAGAGGACAGGCTTAACTCCTCCAGCAACAAGTTGTGATAACAGATGTGAAATGTCATCTACCAAAGAACCTCATGAAGGAGTCAGTGCCCAGGGTTTTACTGGGGAATGGTCACACAGGCACCTCTGCCTAGCATGTACTAAAATTCCAGACTCTTAGGAAGAAAGCAAGTATTCAGCATAAATCAAACTGATTAGGCACAGTCAGACATTCTTATCAGAAAGTTGTAGAAACCCTCCCAGACTCCAAAGCCAGATCCCACAATGCCAGCCAACCTTGTGAGCAGGGTTTTCAGAGGACAGCAGGCTTGGACATGCTGTGGAACCTTTCTGTACCACCAGCTCATACCAATCATAACTATCCTAGCAACCTAGGTCTAGCCCTTGGGAGAATCCTGGAGACAGGATTTTAATTATAAAATGTATAAAATGGGAGTAACGAAAATTCAAAAAAGTTAAGTGATTTGCCTTGGTATAATACTTAATAGTGAGAGAGCAGGGGCTTAGATGCTTAAGTTTAAAATTTAGATCACTCAATACTGTACCGTAGCTGTATAGAAGAAACCAGTGACCTATGTAGAACTGTTCAGGCACATGCATGTTGAATATAGAAAAGATAGACTATTTAGATGTGTGTATTTGCTATATTTTACTTCCGTTGAAGCCTGGTTTCTTTGGCTCTGGGTAAGATTTGTTTTATCATCAAGAATAAATAACTTTGTCTTTCTCTCTCTCTTCTTCCCCAGGAAAATCTAATGTAATGGATGCACTTAGTTTTGTAATGGGAGAAAAAATAGCTAATTTAAGAGTGAAAAATATTCAAGAACTTATTCATGGAGCACATATTGGAAAACCTGTTTCTTCTTCTGCAAGTGTAAAAATCGTATATGTGGAGGAAAGTGGAGAAGAGAAAACATTTACAAGGATCATCCGAGGTATTTTTTGGTAGATGCTTGTTTAGGAGTCATTTGATTTTTCAAGAGTTAAGTCGAATTACCTGTTTTTTTCCTTTTGTTGAAAGGTGTGATTTATTATTCCACTGATAGAGTGAATTAGTGATTCCTTTTTTGTTCTTGGGTGGCAGATGTCAGAAGCATGTAATAGAACATGTTTGATTCTTCACTGGACTCTTCTTTAAGCAGTCATATTTATTCAAATTCCCCTACTATCAAAGGTCATTTTTCTCCCTAGTTGTTAGGTTAAAGTGAAGGAGAAAGTCTACCTCAAAGACAGGGATGTTGTAAAAGTCCTTTCTGAGGTTCTTTTTGTATACATGTTTATGTGGTTTTCCTAGTGATTAATTAATGAAATGCATATTTTTGGTTTGTACAGAGTTTTTT